AGCTAGATAAGGAGATGAGCTCCTCACTCATCTTCACTCAGGGAGTACTGTTAGTTTTTCTTTCTTTGATAGCAGGCCAATAATACCAATTTTTCTTCTTCTTCTTCTTTTTTTTTGGTGAGGATGATTGGCCCTGAACTAACATCATTGCCAAACTTTCTCTCTTTGCTTGAGGAAAACCATGGCTGAGCCAACATCCAGGCCAATCTTCCTCTATTTTGTATATGGGATGCTGCCACAGCATGGCTTGGTGAGTGGTGTGTAGGTCTGCCCCAGGGAGCTGAACCCCTGGCCACCAAAGCAGAGCACATGACTCAACCATGACACCACCAGACCAGCCCCCAGTAATCCCAATTTTGACAAAAATTAAGGCATTTCTAGCCAAGGAGAAGGGGAGACTTCATGATTACAATATAATGAAAGAACTACTTGTAGTTTAAGCAACTACGCACACTGCTTCAGCTGATCATTTTAAAAGCCAGGACGGTATAAGCCAAGTGTTTTTATAGATGGTAGAGGCAGAGGAAGAAAGATGAATTTCATCAGAGGAGAAGTGCCAAAGACAAACTCACTTCGTTCCTAACATTGCAGAGATAGCTACACCTGAATAGGATCACCAATAGCATGGCCATTGTGGGAAAAGACTGACCACTTCTCTACCACATCTATGCAGCTGACTTAAACTCTGCTCCCAAAGGGACAAAATAATTCTATTCATGATGAGAAATATTAAAGGGTTTTACAATCCCAAATTTGAAAAATGCAACCATTTTAATATGGGTGTCTGAAAGAAAATCAGAGAACAAGGTTTCTCACTCAATGTGGCTGTTTTCCTTGGGGCTGTGTAGCATTACATTTTCTGAACCAATGAGATTAATGCTGATCCTCATGGTAATCCTACTTTAAAATGTCTAACTTGGATCAAGAGACTAACTGTCTTATTTGAGAGACTCATTCATGGTGACATTTTATAGCAACGGTGAAATGTTTAACAAGCCACTAATTGCAAGCTATGTGTATTTAAAAGATACGCCAAAACATTAAACTAGGTTTTTTAATAGCAAATAAATATAAGAAAAACTTTCATGCCTGGGCCATTTCCTCTGCACAAAAAAACCCTCCTGTAGGACCTTGCCAGAGTAAATACATTTTATCCACATGCAGAAAAGAGTACTGTGGCCATGTAGCTGAATCAGAATTTTGAGTAATTCCAAAACACAAGTTTTTTTTTTTCTCTATGCCTTTCCATTTTCTACTCTATCTCTGAATCCATTTACACTGATTAAATCTTAAGAAAGGTTTGAAATGATGCCCTAAATCCTTAAATGTCTCCATCTGAATTGTCATCAATGAAAGTGAGAGATAACACCTATGTGAGCATTGCCTGGCCCAGGATTTTACTAGGAGTCCTGGATTTCTTTCAGTCACTCTAGCCAAAGGAAAGTTGGTTCAGGCCCTTCTCTTCCCAACCACGAAGACATAACACACATTCTAATAGCCTGAGGCATTCCTCACCTTCCTCTCTCCATGATGGAAGTCCTTGGCTCTTTCCTTCAAGGATGAATCCTGAAGGAGTTTAGGAGCTAATTGTCACCAGCACTTAGAAGTCTAATCACAATGATGAAGAGGGAGTGTTTGGCCTTTACAGTTTTCTAAAGTGCCTATATTGAAAGCATGAAATACTGTTTCAGGAATGCTGGAGAGTGGATACTTGCTCTTTATTCTTGATTCAAATGAGGTCTTTTGAAGTCTAATGCTTATTTTGTAAGATTAATGCAAGCTATAATCAATACAGGGAAACTTTAGCACTTTACTGCATTTAAGACTGAAAGTTCAGAAGAGAAAAGAATAATTGGACATTTAAAAATACAGAGTAGGTAATAATGTTTTTTGACAGCTATAGTGCTAATCACCAACTAAAGTGGCTTGATGAAAAAAAAAATACCATTTCACTTGAAGTTTCACATTATTCTCTCTTCCTATAAGCATGAGAGTTATTGGCACAAGGAGTACTCCACTTCTAGTATTCACTGATATGGGTAACCAATGTGTTTATAGCTACCTATAAAGCTAAATCCCACGTACATATTGTATATTTTAATTGATGTATTTTGCTCTCTTGATGATTGCTGTGAACATTTCAGATTGCAGTAAAAACAGCCTACAATACAGAGCTGGATGATGATCACGAACAATAAAGGCCAAGTTTCAAATATACCAAACTTGAAATATATCTTTACCATATCTGTTGATCAATTTAGAAATCCCATTTCACCAACATGATACATATACGCTGGATGCTTTAGGCCAGAGGGATCTCCAATCACATGACATACCCAAGAAAATTTTAAATACATCTTGGGTTTGTGGAAAGTCTTCAAGAAAGTAGAGACGGCAATGCACGTCAGAGGAAAAGCTAGTCTTTGGAGTCTGGCATCCAGGTTTTGAATCCTACCATGATCCAGGTATATATGTGATCTTGGACAAGTTACTGTCCTCCACTGAGCATCCATGTCCACATCTCTAAGATGAGAATACTAACACCTAACCTTTCAAGATGGCTTGTGAGTACTCAGTGAAGTAAAGAATGAAAAGCACCTGGCTTAATAAATGTAGTTATTGAAGCATTAGAATTTTCTATGAAAATACCTTCTAAGTTTTAAAGAGAAAAGTCTACTCTTTCCCTATCCTTATCCATTCACCTCCCCCTGCCTTCAGCAAAAAAAAAAAAAAGTTATGTTAGAGGCAAAACTAATAGATCTCATAGGAATCGGTAGATTTATGCTTATTCTCGGGTTCTCCGTCTGCATCTCTTATTTAAGACCCTAGATGGTCATCCCTTCAAAAAAGGAAAATTCTCAATGATAAATAAATAAGCTTCATCCTCCACTGAGAGCAGCAAATTCCTTGCTTGAAAGATTTCTTTGGCTTCTAACAAAAAATGCATGCTGCTCTTTTCTTTCCGAAGTCCCCGCTGAGAGAGTATTTGTCATCTTTAGCACAAAGGTGCTGTGAGCTGCTGTGCCCATTCTCCAACTGAGCCTCGGAGAATGCTCTAAACCCCTTGCAGTTGCATGGGGACACCATAGGGTTTTAATTAATGTTTTTTAAGACTATGTGTCAAGAGCCAGATCCAACTGATATCCAGTCTAAACAATTTCACACCAATAAGCCCACCCTTCTCCTTATAACCATGTCAGGTTCTCGTCACCAGAGCAAAAATGGGGTTTTGTGAAACTCTCTGCCCCAGTCCATGCTTGTGTCACATTTCTTAGGTCACTCAATGCTGTTCCATCGTTGCATTTTTAATTGAAAACTCACAGAATGCAATTTAAATACGTTTTCCTGGAGTGTTCTCTAGCACTTCTGTCTTACCTAGGCTGCCAGATAAAAGACTAACGTTAGACATTTCCTCCTTCTCTCCAGTCACTTTTTTGTTAAGTTAAAACATTTGGGGTTTATTTCCACTTTTATGCAGGTTAAGTATGTAAAATGTTTTTTGGATATAAGCTTTAAAAAGCTTTATAAATAATTTCAGCTAAATAACTGCACAAAACCTGAAATGCTCTAACACTTTGTGATTCTATGCATCCCAAGCTTAAGTACAGGATTACTTTTATTGAAAGAAATTTTACATGTTCAGAGTTGGTATGGATCTATTATTCTGATCCAACGAGACTCTCCCAATTGGAAAGAGCCATTTGGGTTTTGACATGATTGACACAGTTTTTAATAAGACATTCTGGGAGGAGCATTAATATTCTAAATAGCCTTGATTTCTAAGTGCAGGAACTTCCATCGGTGACAATTAGCTGGGAAGGATTGTAGATATATTGGAATTAATGCTTAGAATTGTTTTTCTCAATTGCAGAATGACTACAAAGGCCGATTTTAACTGGTTTTAAATTTTTATTATTAATATAGGGATAGAGTTAAAAATGGTATGACCTATTTGATTTTTAATGTCTTCAGTTGACCATAAAACATTAATAATTTCTAGTGAAAAGTCTTTCAGCGTCTTGTATAGCCAAGCAAATAAATAGCCTTGGGAGCTTGGGAGTTGACTTGAAATCATCATCATGTTTTAAAGTAAAACTTATTTTTGCTATTGTCTTGAAGATTAAACAATGGCTCCTTTATATTTGACCAAAGGTGAATGTTCTAAAATTATTAATTCTATGCCAATTAGAATTAGCTTTCAAACACTTAGATCATTAAAAAAAAAACTTAGTGCCATTTTAACCATAAAATATACATTTCGTAGAATGATTTCTTCTTCATGAATTCACAAAACGTTTAAAACTTTTCTTCTAGTTTCAATGAATGAAATAAAATATACAGAGAAACAGGAAAGAGCTACATATTAGAATTTCCAGAAAGGAAAACATACATCATTTTCTTCTGACCCAGAGTAAATGCAGTACTCAGCTGCTGACTTAAGAAAATAATACTTGATCAGAGTCGGGTGGGGAAGGAGATTTGTAATTGCTGAGCTTAGAGTCAGGAGGACATTCACGTCTGCCTCCAAAATGATGAACACACATCATTTAAAAGGGCAGGCATGCCTAGGGCTGATAAATAAATCAATTTACAAGAAAACGCCCAAAGAGGGGATTAGAGTCTGACAAGTCACAATTCATTTGCCACATATTTGCCAGGTAGCCCGTTGGCATAGCCAGGCTACTGAGGGTGGCAGCTATGAGAAGGGAGGAGAGCTTCTTACACATTTCACCCACAGTTCTTCTCAATTTAAGACAGTGAATGAAATTCAATGGCAAACTGCATTGACTGAATATTGGGATGCACACAAAATTACTCATTTTGGTTAAGTTGATAGTGCAACTTATCAAAGTAAGGGAGATTAAATGAGATAATGCAAAATTCCTTTTTAAAAATCCTCAAAACCAAACCTTTAGTATAAACCTCATTAACATTCTTTACTTCCCCACAAAAATACAAAATATATATACTGGAAGTCAGGAAGTTACGATTTTCTCATATAGTTTATTTGGAAAAAATTACGTGCAAATTCCAAACAAAAACATTAGTTCAAACTGAGCTAAACATTTAAGAATTTCTCTATCACAGATTCTCCAAGTCCAAATCCAGAACTCGGCAGGATGTAGCATGTAAACAGTAAGTTACCTACGTCAGAATTCTTTGCCAGAAACTACTTAAAGGAAAGTAGCTTGAGCTTTCTTGGTCTGGTTGTTGAAATTTCAAATGCGAAAAGTAACTCACTTGTTACCCTACAAAATATTGTTGAAAATGTAACGACTAATTAGTGGAGAGAGAATAAAGCAAGAAACGTTTAAAATGACCTACAGAAAAAAGTATCAAAAGAAGAAGAATTCAGCAAATTAAAGAATTTATATACCTTATAGGCATGACTTAAGCTAAATTTTAACAGTTAATTTGTTGGGTAAATATTCTCTTCATGCCATATGTAAATTTACCCCACTAGTATTTTTCACATTATCCAGTTTCCCATACCCACTATCCTTGTATTCCCAGCTCTACATATTAGAACACAGAATATTGACTACAAAATAACAGGATGAAGAGAGATTTATTGAGAATTAAGATGAAGTTATGAGAAGTGTCAGAGTATTCTCTTCAAAATGATCATGCATTTGGGAATTTCTTTGATAATACTGATCTAAAATGCTTATTTCTATGGTCTTCAAAAGAATATCAGCAACCACTAGAGCTGATTTCTGGATCAGAAAATGAACCACGGTTTCTGTGATTACATTTTTATATAGATAGAGATAAATGAAGATAGATATAAATGTAGATATAGATAGATAATGTTTGTTCTGACAGAGGGCATTTTATTCATTAGTGTTCCCATCTGTTATGTGACTGGAGTTGCCATTAGTGAAGCTATGGATTGACCATGGAGTTGTGTTTGCCGTCTAGGGAGCAGGAGTTCAGGCATGGAACTAATTCTGAATAATGGGAATGTTAACAAAGAGGTCCTTTGAAGAGTTGAGAGGTTTACAACAACAACAACAAAAATTCAAGATAACAATAGAGGCTATGACCACAAATATCTGACTTCAGAGTTCCAGGACCAGCTTATTAGGAAAGGCTCATTCTGATTCCCAGTTTCACAAAAGCACTCTGAAATTTTACTTTATATTAATGAGTTTTAACAGAAATAAAACTAACATTTGATATATTTTTGTGTAACAAAGATCATTGCTGATTGAAGAATGATCATATTGTAAGATGGGTTTGAGTTCCCTAAGATGATCTCGTGAATGTGTTCACATCCAGACAGCTCTTCACATGGAGAAGACTGGACCAAGACGGTGAGGACTGAGTGCTGCTCTTTTCAGCTGGCTCATTACTCTAGATGTGAGAAAAATCAGTACAAGGATATTAGGAGGACTAGAAGTCATCAAAATAATAATGATCCAAATCAACAAAGTGAAAAAACCCAAACCAAAGGTGACATGAGTGTGTATATGTATTGATGATAGATCAATGGCTGGATTGCTTGTTGTTTCATTTTCATGGAACTTGAGGCAGTGATCTTCCCTAAAATTCCATTTCCCAGTTACCAGCGTATATAACAGAGCTCTGAAACACTTTAATCTGATTTTTTAAATTATACTTCTCCTTATTCCATAAAAACTCCTGTTGTTAATGTCCTTTACAAGTTTATTGAAAGATACTCTCTTTCAAAATGCTTAATAATTGTGGAAATATGTATATGTATGTGGGTGGAGATGTGAGTATTTACATGTGAGCTTAATAGAATAATGAATATAAAATTCACAATGATGCTTACTTCTGGAGAGAGACTGTTAAGTGATTGAACTAATTCCATACTAGTTGGTAAACAGCTGGGCTCCAATGCATCTGAGTATACTCTCCACCCAGCCTCCCCACAGCCCTTCATCTGCACTTCCTTCCAGGTCTCTTCAGGATCCAGCACGGAAGGGTTACCCCCGTTAGCACAGTACGGGGTCCCCAAAACCAACTCTAGAAGTTAGGTCAGCACCAGCTCTCTTTGTCTGTTCCTCTGTTTTTCTGTTGTTAGATAATTTGCATATCACTCTTGGGTCTTTTGTATCTTATTTGTTAGTGTTTTATTTCTTGGATTGGATTATGGATTTATGGGTGTCTATTATTATATTATGAATTAAACATACAGCAAATAAAAAGAGGGAAAGGGGAAAAAAAGACAAGTAGGCACTTGAACATTCTCCTGTGATTGTGATATTTTTTCCTAAGCTGCAGGACTTATTGCATAATAGGCTTTAGTTCCTTTTTCTCTTCCCCTTCTAACGGAGGCCCGGCCAAGAAATTTATCCTACATGTTTTCTGGGAGACATAATCTTCACTGACATCATCAATACTGGGAGCATTGCCCAGGGAGTGAGATTCAATATTATTACTAATTATCGAGCATTGACTGCATACTTTGGATTACCTAAAACACGGTGGGCAAGGTCTCTGCCCTGAGGCTGTGCATCAAGCTTTAATTAGGGAGACAGGAGAATTCAGCTGATTCATAGAGAGCAGAATTTGAGTAAAGTTGTGTTCCCTCTGCTGGCCACCTAGCTGTTTCTCCTCTCATAATGGTGAAATGTGTCCGGGTCACTTTTAATCCTATTAGAGATCTAGCTCAAATAGCTGTGGCTTTTTTGTTGCTGGTTTTGACTTTTATTACCTGTCTGTCTAGTTTTAATGCATCCTTACATATAGGCAGCTTTTTTTTCGTTTTTTGTTCTCCCCAAAGCCTCAGCACATAATTGTATATATCTTCATTGTAAGTCCTTCCAGTTCTTCTATGTGGGGTGCTGCCACAGCATGGCTTGACGAGTCGTGTGTCGGTCTGTTCCCAGGATCCAAAGTGGCAAACCCCTGGCCACAGAAGCAGAATGTGTGAACTCAACCACTCGGCCACAGGGCCAGCCCCTAGGCACCTTTTTAAATGATGTTATTTGAGGAATGCTAAATGATCCACTGTCCTACTGTAGCTCCAATAAAAATATTTGCTAACATTTGTTGCTAGCCATGTTTCTTAGAATATGCTAAGCAGTTTACGTGTATTTTATCATCTAATGGTCATCAATTAAAAAAAATCTTTGGTATAAGAGGTAATAATTTATAAGAGTAAGAACATACAAGTGGTTGAAATGGGAGAGATAGGGAAAAAGCAGAATCCTTTTTGGAAGAAAATTCTCATTTTGCTAATGGGTATATTTAGATACGAAAAGTGAATTTCCTCACTCATCCAACACCCTGAGAATCGTCTCTGAGGAGAGTCTGTAACTGAATTGTTCTGCTTGTGGAAGTAAATGGGAATCTGGAAATTTTTATCCAGAAACTGGAGGATCTAATGACTGAAGTACTTTAAATTTGGGAAGAGAGAGAGATGTGAGGAAAGAAAAGGAGAAGAGCCACAACAGCACTGGAGGCTGGGGCCCAGCTGAAGGAGGAGTTCCTCAAGAAATTCCCCAGTGTGGGGAACAACCAAGTGTTTCAGGACAATGATAGCTGATATGCTATTTTAAGATATTCTCTGTTGAGTTATGGTCATCTCTGCTAACCCAAACTTTGAGCAAAATCTGTTACACAATCCTGGTGCCAATGACACTTCTGCAGAATGAATAGACGTATGATAGGTGGAATTTCTAAAATGACTCCTCAAAGATGTCCCAGCCTAATCTATACAACCTGCTCATATGTCAAAGGTATCACCCCGTACTTATATTATGTTATCAAGTTGACCTTAATATGGGGAGATTATTCAGGTAAAACTGATCTAATCACATGAGCCCACAGAAGCAGAGAGCTGTCTCTGGCTGATAGCTGAAGAGAGAGAGAAATGTGAAGCACCATTGTTTCTTTGAAGATGAAAGGGGTCAGGTGAGAAGGAATGTGGATGGCCTTAAGGAATTTGGAAAGGCCCCTGGCTGACAGCCAGTGAAGAAATGGGGATCTTTGTCCTATAACCACAAAGAACTAAATGCTGCCAACAACATGAATGAGGTTGAAAGTGGATTCTTTCGTAGAGACTCCAGATGAGAGCTGAGCCCAGCCAACACCTTGATTTCAGTCCTAAGTGCAGAACATAGTGAAGCTCACTATGACCTATACAACTGTGAGGTAATGGATGGATGTGGTTTTAAGCCACTAAAGTTGTGTTAATTTGTTATACAGAAATAAAAAATTAATATGAGTTATAATAATTATGAGCTATAAAGAGTGGACATAGAAACAGAATCATAAAAAACAAGACAGAGAGTACAGAGGTGGAATAGGACAAAGAAGAGAGACTTCACATTTGAGGGAGTATCATGTGGAAAAGATATAAAATATTTGCCCCTGGTTTATGAAAGAATTGATGAGTAGGGTGTTTTAGTTACCTGGGGCATGAAAAAAAGTAGAAATTCCCTATGTGGGGTGGATACATAAAACTGTATTTATCCTACCTTGAAGCAATCTTATTTTTTTCAGATGGAAACTGTGAAAGTTGCAAGGAGTAAAAAATATAAACTGTAGTTAACCATCTAATATTTCAGAGGCAGCAATCAGAGATGAGAGGTCTTCTTCTGTGGGCGTCAAGATATTATCAAGTAAATCTATGGGTAAAAGTATGCTCTTGACTATAAAGGTCTTACTCTTGCAATTAGGTGGCATTAAATTAAGGCCAGAATATCAAAGGTCAAAAAATACATATGCTTTCTGAAGACTGCCTGTTAAACATGGAAAACTTGTCACACATATTCACTGCTAATCCCATCAGAAACTCCACTAAAATATGAGTTAAAGAAGCTTTGGAAAGCAAATCTTAAAGTACAAAGGAAACAGGAGAGGCAAGTACAGCAATACAATGTTGGAAACCAGAAAGCATTTAGATGAATGGTTATTGACTTACAAGTGGTTATATTGACCAGAAGAAACCATAAACCAGCAATGGAGGAGGCCAGCTCCAGGCACATTCATGACAACACCCTGGAAAGGCTCAGGAGTTGAAGGAACCAGGTAGAGCTGGTGGTAGGGGAGCAGGTGATGAAGAAAACAGGTGTACTGCTTGAATGCCTCTCAGACCATATCCCACACTCTGTAGAGCTGCTTACTCCCCCTTACCCTTCACAGCCAAAGACTGGAAATTTACTTTCTGGAGATTGGCAGGGGGCACTTTAATCCCAAGAGCACCAGTTACAGCTGAGGATAGGATGTCATATTGAAAATAGGAGGATTTATTAAAGACAATATATTAAATGATAATGTCTCTGGCCTCCTTCTTTTACTAGACTCTCAATGTTGGCAGTCAAGTTTATTGCCCATGGCAGGAGATTAGAGCAGGAGTTGGAAACAATGGCCTGCTGCCTATTTTTATAAGGTTTTATTGTAACATAGCCACATCCTTCATTTATGAATGGTCTATGCCTGCTTTTGTGCTACAACGGCAGAGTTGAATAGTTACAACAAAGACTGGATAGCTGACAAAGCACAAAATATATGCTATCTGGCCTTTTGTAGAAAAAGTTTGCTGACCTCTAGACTAAAGACTTTTTCCAAGGAAAGTTACTGAGACAAGAGAGGACGTCTTTAGATACTGATGATTAGAGTTTCTAAATGAAATGGCCAAGAAAGTTAACCCAAAAATAAGACCACCAGTCAACAAACCCCACCCACGCAAATAGAATTTGTAAACATCTTTGCAGTGCTTCACTTCTCTTAAATAAAAGGAACAGCCAAAGATTACCAGACATTTAAACAAAGTCTCTAACATGAAACACAAAGATTAGGGAAAGGAAGAAAAAGAAAGAAATCAGAACAAAGAGTCAATGAAGATAGCAGAAGAAAACTCACAAAAGAAAGAAAAATATACATACAAATGTATGGAATATCCTTAGAAACTAAATCACATTCATTAAACAGGAACAGGAGCTATACAAAAAGAGTACTCAGATAAGAAAAGTTTCCTTGAAAATGGATATACAATAACTGAAAAAAAGATCAGAAGAAATTCCGGAAGATAAAGTTTTAAAACATCTAGAAAGTAGAACAACGAAGAGAGGAAAATATCAAATAACTAATTCCAGAAATTTCCTGAAACGAAAACACTGCTGTTTTCAGATGTTCTCAGAGGAGAAACTGAATGTTCACCACAATGTAAGACAAAATCCGTGTTTTGCCTGGGGCTCTGACTCAACAACCAACTAATCAGCAAGTCTCGGCTTTTTGAACTGAGTGGAGTTTACAGCACACAGAATTTGGAAGAAGCACTATTATAAGATGAGTACAGCCAGCTTGTGTTCTAGTAATCGGATTGTAGATGTGTTGTTTATTACAGGCTCAGATCCTTTTCCAAAACGCTCAGACTGGAT